TATATATAAAACAGCTACGTTCGCAACTCTGATATTCAAGAGATAATAAAAAGAATATTTCAAAAACTCTCTAAACACATACGCTAAATTTATATCCATTTTTCGATACACCGGTATACTTTCTAGACGTGCATCGTGTTATTGCTGCTGGTAGAGTCGACGTACCGAAGTACGGATCGAGCGGCTGCTCTATGATTCACATTATTTCGTACTGTCAAAATAAAACGAATTTTTAGTAAAATCAGTTATGTTTAATTCCACTTTGACACCTTGCTGGTTCGATTTTTCTTATTAAAAATATATAATCAATCTCGTTTTACAGAGAAATTTATGCTACTTCAACGAGTACATACATTTAGGAATAATGTGGCCAATCACAAAAACATATGTCGATGTAAAGCTCTTTATATTTTCTCTTACAAGAGAGTTTCTGTTAATAATAAAATATTACAATCATATTGTGTGTAATCTTACAAATAATATATTCAATTATTTTATTATATATCACAATTTCTAGTTTGTGTTGCCGTGCACAGAAAGCTGATTTATATTTGTTGGGATATTTTCGGATATAGCTGCACACATAAAAATATGGCAGCATACACTTATTTATAGTTAAATCTATCTCTTTGAAATCTCTTTCATTATAATTCCGAAAATTTTTATCGTTACAGAAGCATCGTAATCATCGTATAGTGTTTTGCTGTAAAAATGCATCAGCCTTCGATTTGTTCTAAATAATACTTTGTTATAGTATATATAAGAAAATATCTTACTTTTATACAACACTGTTAACATTTTTTTTTTATGTGACGGATACACAAAAATTCAGAAATATATAAAAAAGAATGTATAATTTTAAGAAAAGTTTAATATACACAAATAATGTGTATGTGTATTAGTGAATAAAGTAAAATTAATCGCGTTTTACATATTTTATATACATATTATATATCAATATAATATTAAATATTCGAAAATATACCTTTTTTATACTCTCATTTTTCACATTCAAACTTATTCTTCATAAAATCTCAAATCATAAAAGTAAGTCATGTCTTAATCTTTATCATTAATATCATCGGTTGTCTAAAATTTGACTACTATTAGATTTGTATTCTATATAAAACATATGTTCTCATATTGTTTGTAAAAGAATTTATATCATTAAATTCATTTGTATCATAACCTTTCAAAAATTACAAATTATGTTCATTCGTTTATCCTAGTTATCCGAGAAACAATTATTAGATTTTTATAACATATTAAAAAACAATACAGAAAAATTGATATAAAAGATTTATATTTACATTACCTAAAATTACAATATGTTGCTTCAAAAAGAGAATTAAAGAATGATACTGTTGTAGAAAACATATAAAATCATATATGTTGTATCAATAATCCAATTTAACTTCTAATTATATTTTCATATACCACAAGAACTCTGTTCCTTGTAAAAATATTTTTATATAAAGTTTTTGAATATACATTGGTAGAGAGAATACACTATGGTGAGACGAAAGCAGTTTGTTATGTAACAAATGCGGATGAAATTTCCTTAGCACCCCGGAACTTTGCACCTTATCGCGATTCTCGCGAAATTCATATGTCATCTTCGCCTTGCGACTTCTTCAATCTACGTTATTTGAATTCCGTCGTGTGAATCTCTGACCACGATATCGGACGGGAGGATGATTTTTATCTCCCCGTCCTCGTTTGTAGGCGCATCCTTTTGCACAGCGGTCGTTGTATCGTGATGCTTCTTTCTGTGGCACATCATGGTTGACCTGGACACAAAGCCTTTGCCGCACGCGTCGCACTTGTACGGTCGTTCACCGGTGTGCAAACGCTTGTGAATGGCCATCGGACTGAACTGCGTAAATGTTTTATTGCACACGTCGCATCTGTAAGGACGCTCGCCCGTGTGCGATCGTCGATGACAGCGTAGCGCCGCACGTCGGGCAAACACCTTCCCGCATATTTCGCATTTGAAGCTCTTCTCGCCGGTATGCATGGTCGAATGGATCTTGAGATCAACTCGCGTCAGGAATCCCTTTCCACATACTTCGCACAGATACGGCTTCTCGCCCGTGTGAATGCGTAGATGCGTGTTGAGGTAACTCTTGCTGACAAACATTTTGTTACACACTGCACACGGGTATTGGCGATTGTCCGTACCCGAATGTATCTTTTGATGACTCTTGCAGAGGCCCTTGGTGATGAAACCACGGCCGCAGATTTCGCACATGTACGGCTTCACGCCGAGATGACGGTTCTCGTGATCCAACAATGATTGCTTCGTCTTGAAGTTCTGACCGCATGTATTGCACGGATATGGCTTTTCGTCCGAGTGCACTCTTTGATGTACAATGAGATAGCTCTTACACTGGAATCCCTTGCCGCAGGTAGAACAATTGTAGTCGAATTGACCCGTGTGCGTGGCCGTGTGTTGCGCGAGACCGATCTTGCTGCGAAATGCCTTCTCGCATGTCGTACATTGAAACGGTTTCTCGCCTGTATGCTTGCGCATGTGCTCTTGCAGTTTGTAATTCGTTCTGTACTGCTTGCCGCATTCGTCGCAGGTCTTCGCGGTCCATTTCCGTTTCACCGTTGGTGATTGTTTCTTTTGCTCTTCTTGATTGCCATTTCTCTCTTGCGACGGTGTCGCTACGTTCAATTGTATATCTTTCTTTTTCTTATCGACTAGTTTATCTTTATATACAATACACTGCTCCTTATGTAAATTTAACATCTCGACGCTGGTAAAGTATGAATCGCAACAACAGCGACAGAAATGTTGTTCGAAATGCGCCGCCAGACTGCTCGTTTCTAAAGCTGCCTCGTTGCAGAACGGGCACATGTACCAATGCGAACCAGTTTCGTCCATGGTAGGATTATTGAGCGCAGATTCTAGCAATGTGTGCTTCGATTCCTTCGTGTATTTAACCATTATTTCGCAAGATATGTCATTTATCTGACTTGTAGACGGTAAAGTGTTTACTGAATCGACATGTTCGCGAATTCCATTTTCGTTCATACAAGATTCTTCTATCTCGGCTTCTGCGTCAGCATGAGAGGAGCCAAAATTATCCGTAGATACCTAAATTACAAATTTTAATTACAATTTTTGAATTACAAACTTCAATTACAAGTGCAAATGTCACATCAAGTAATTTTTATATTTTTACTTCTGCTAACATGTTTTAAATTGTAATTATTTTTCTTTATGCAAGTTGCTCAAGCATTGTTTCAAATAGTATACTTACATTATTTTCAAGTACATGTTGCGAATCTTCTGTAGTTAATCTATTTTGTAATGTACGATATTCCTGTTTTATTGGCCCTGCCTCATATTTTACATTTTCACAATAATGTACTATCTGCTCTTGGCTTTGATCTTCAGGATTGATAGAAGTAACATAATTAATCCCTAACTGACTCAAATGACCATCCAAATTTCCCACTACGGTCATATCACTCTCCAAATGCATTGCAATCTGATGGTTTGAAACCTAGAAAATATAAAAAAATCTACAATTTATACTCTACAAACTGAAACTCATAAAAACGACAAATTGCATATCCGATTTTTAGTTAAACTATCAGAAATTATATAAATAAATTATCTCGCGCTCTTTCCACATTCTACAAGAATTAGTTTCTTTTAATTGCAACAATATAATCATATCATGTATACAAATGCATATATAAGGTGATCCACAAACACTTACAAATTACCCAATATGTTCAATTTACAAAAAAATAAACATAGATTGCTTCAATTACTTCTCGTATATGTTCATCGACCATTCTCACGGTATCGCCATCTAAACAGTCAATGCCCGCCACTTGAATGTCCGCGTCTTGCTGCCCTATCTCTTCCTGAGTAACCACTTGTTCGCCACCAGCTAAATCCATTTCATCTATTACTTGCATTGTATGCATGGTAGATTCCACAGTCTCATGAGATATAGCTGAATGACTTTGTACATCTTCATTATTAATCTGTATGTTGTTCAAGTTTCTCCGAACAGTGCCCATATTATTCACTCTTGCCAACTCGTGCTCTGATATATGCACAACTTCCTCTTTAATTTCTTTCAACATCTCCATAAACATTCCTTCTGTATGTAGGCATTTTTCACGAAAATCAAACAGCTGATCTAATTTAAACGCACATTCTTCGCAAACCACTTTGGGTAACTGATCTGTCAATGATACCTGAAATTTGTTAAACTATAATACACAATGTATTTTATAAAAATTTATAATATATCAATTTTTTAAAATTAGTCAGTCAACGTTATTATTAATAAATATATGGAATCCGATAATAAAAACGTGAGCTTCCAAGGATAAATATATATTCGTTTTACATATCACAATATAACCTTGGCATAAAACGCTTAAAAGATCAAGATTGGAATAAAAAGTTAATTCATTGATATCGCGGTACCCACGATTGCTCGTTATATTTCATGTACCTGAACCGGCAGACAAGCTGCTATTTTCTTGTCGATGTTGCGCATTTGTTCGCCGGCCTCGAAAATCGGCAGCCCCATCAGGATGCCGGTTTTGGTCGCGCACAAACGGCACAAATAATCGAACTCCTCGACGACGGCCATATCAACGGGAAATCCTCGTCGTCTTCTAGCGCAGATTATCTCAGGCTGTCACGACACAGAGGATGCCTTCAGAGAACGCGACTGTGATCGCGATTAGCTCGTCCTGTGGCGCGCATATCCCTCGTAGCCTCTCGCAAAATCTCTCGTGTTCCAGAATCTCGTTGTGACAACACGTCCGAGATGTTTGTCAAATCGGTCGTCTGTACCGTACCATTGAAACTCGTCGTGTCGCGATCTCCTGGATCTCCCAATCGCGGAGCGATTTAGTTCGAGTGGAAAACGATGGAAAGAATCGCTTACTGTGCATAGATGAAGAAAACACTTTGATGGAAACTCTACAAAAAGGACATTAAGATTATAAGGTTGCGTTCGAAAATCTACTCGTCGGATAGGGTAATGTGTAATTGACCAATCAGGATAAAATATTTCTTTATCCTGATTGGTCAACCAAACACTACTTGATTTCGAACACAAATCAAAGTGAACCTAACTTTACGAACAATACTACCCGAGATTCGATGCATCTCGCTTGCGTTTTGCGTTTATTTCTAAATCCTTCCACCCTTTCTTGTCGATATCGCAGCTAATTATTTTATATTTGTGGCTGATTGTGAGTTTGGTTGTATTTTATTTGGCGTTATAAATGCTTTGAATCATTTGATTGATCAGGATAAGGCCCTGCGCACAATAGAGAAAATATTAGGAATAGGAATAAAATATTAAATATCAGGAAGAGCAATTTGGAATTATTTTACTTCAAACAAGGGAACGGAATGGATTAATTATTCCTAATTTTTATTTTTTTTATTTCATTATACGTTAATCCATTCCGTTCCCTTGTTTGAAGTAAAATAATTCCAAATTGCTCCTGATATTTAATATTTTATTCCTATTCCTAATATTTTCTCTATTGTGCGCAGGGCCTAAGAGGGACAAGGATTTCTCTATTCTGATTGGTCAATCAAATGCTTTTAAACATTTGTAGCGCCAAATGGCTAAATCAAGCGCAGTCTCAGTTGCATGCTGATTGCATACAATTGAATGTTGTGTTACATGTGCCAGTGAATAAAGTGAGGTTAACGTTCGATTATAATTAATTGATTACAGTTTGTAAATACGATGGAGAATCAAAACGCACCGCCTATTAAGAGCAATAACCCTGCTCCGACTGTAGAACAAATCAATGCGGACAGGATCACCCAGGTATCTTTCATCGATTATTATTTTATTGAATTTTACAAGCAATGATAATATGAATCTTGTAATCAAGCAAATTTTTGTTTCACGTTTTTGTTGACTTTGTATATGATCTCATCGTTATATTATGATTCTGTGCAGCTTGCGAATAAATATTGGGCGCCACACACTACAGATACGCATCTACCGTTCAAACCTCAGATAGTGGAAGATATTTACATACAAGAGATATGCGCGTCCAAGTTCTCCATTCGAAGAATCATGATGTTGGAGTTTAGTCAGTATCTGGAGAATTTTCTCTGGCCAAATTACAACGCGGAAAATGCAACGCGAGCGCACACCATGTCCATTGTTGTCATGGTGAATGAGAAGTTCAGAGAGCGAGTACAAGTTTGGGAGGCATTTGAAAAAAATTCAACGCACTTTCCTGGATTCTACCAAAAAGTTCTCGAAGCATGCTTAGAAGAAAGCATAATGGACTTTGATTTAAAAGAACAGACAGCATTGATAGTGTTTTTAAATCATTGTTTCAATTCCATGGAGATATTATTAGTTAGAGAGGAAGTCAAAAGATTGGTATCTCTGTCTATGTGGATTTCCTTGCAACACGGTAGAAGAGAACTCGAATTTAGAAAGTATCCAAAATGGAGGAAATATTGGAAAGTTATAAGAAAGAAGGATAATCCAGAGCAAAAGGAGAAACTTGAGTGGGAACGCAGATTCTTGCATAAGCTCATGATAAAATTCATGACAATATTGGAGACAATTCCCGCAGAAGGTACATATCTTTTTGTCTTGTGCAAAAAATTAAATTTTATTTGTCTGATTTAAAAGATTTCAATTTCTATGAATCTTATTAAAAATAATGTGATAACGTTAAGTACATAAAATAATTTAACTCCAACAATATAAATATTCTTGACAGGACCTGTACTTTCGGACAAAGTGCGATACTGCGAAAGATTTTTGGAATTAATCATCGATCTTGAGGCTTTACTTCCCACCAGACGTTTCTTCAATACTATCATGGATGACAATCATCTAGTCGTGCGTTGCCAGTTATCTAATTTATTACATCGTCTAGAGGGAAGTTTATTTGGACAGGTAAGTCTTCACACAAAATGTATGTTATAGACAAGATGTGTCAAATAATTTAATCCAGGATATCGATTCGAATTCATTTATCGAATCTAATCTCATATTTTTCATACAAAAATCGAATTTTATATATATACACACATATATGTTATATAGATATAAATACTATGCAAATATCATTAAAAGTATAAAATCATTTAAGGCTCAGTGACACATAATTAACTATATTGTGCAACACATTTGCATAACAGATTTGTTTGTTAATTAAATACGGTAATTGATATTGCACAATATAATCGATTTTATATATAGAACCTATCAGTACATTTATGATGACATAATATGCTATAAACATTGATACATGCAAGATATTAGATGTGTTAAAATTGTGAAGTATCAAAAAAACGTCTCGCATACATTTTTATAAGGCAAGAAATTGATTTCATTTAAGGCACGTATAATCACCAAACATGAAATATCAGATAAACAATTTTACCAGTGCCGTGTCATTTGCTTATCAATTCAAACATTTTAATTGATTATGTATTTCACATATATAACTTCCTAAAAATTTTTTTAATTTCTAAGATCCTCTTCAATGTGTCTGAGATTCAACAACTTTTCATGCTTTGTTTGTTCTCTACTTCTACATTGATTCGATCACCCTAATTTTTGCATAATTATTTACAATATATTGCTGCCAATACATTTTATCTTTCTCAATATTGTCTCGGATATACATATATACGTATTTCTCTTTTTATATATCTTTCTGCACGTTTTACGTTTACTTTTATATAATAACGTTACTACGTATATAATACTGTTTCTTTCTGGAATATAAAATACATATCCACGCATTTTTTACACTCCATAAAGAATATTTCTTTTGGTTTTAATATATATGCATATATATTTATATATGTGCATATGTATTATATATATTATATATTGCATATATATACATATATGCATGTATTTATGCTTAATATATATGTAATATATATATATATATATATAAATATAACAAAAATTACGTGAAAAGTATACGTTTATGAAAGAGCTGTGACTTTTTAAGATAAATCTCAAGGCAAGTTTTTGATCTCGCACGAAGAATATATATATCGTCAATTCTCGAATATATACTTTGGCGTATAGAATGTATAGAATGTTTTTCATTTCGTACATAAATGCATCTCCGGTATTTTTTGTATACCTCACTTATGGCCATTCGCGCAAGTTCACGATCTAAACGCGCGATGATCGTTATTGCTTGATTACGATTCCGATCAGGATTACATTACGCGTCACAGATCGTAATCTATAAAAGATAAATGCCGCGTTAATAACCCGCATTGATGGCTGTCATCTCCTCGCCCCAATCGAGACCCTCGGTGTTGTCCCCAGGATTGCAACAGTTGCACGTTTTTCCGAGCAGGAACGTGACCCTGCGCTGACCGAACACGCATACGTAGAGTACGAATAATGCCTGCAGCAGGTTCACGATGATATGGCAGTATATCAGAGCATCGAATTTGAGCCGTGAAAGTAGAAGCGAGAACCAGCCGGTGCTCAGGATCGCATACAGAAGAACGAACATGCGAAAGCTGTACTTCATTTTGTGATGAATTCGGCCGTACGTGCTCATCCGTTTGATCCTGTTCGCGGTCGTCAGCACAAAGCAGAGATCGATCACGACGGTGAAGGCGATACACATGAACATCACGGAGATCCCGAGCCAGCCCACGGTCTCCTGGGCGGGATAGGTCGTGCCGCCCACGGTGGGCTTGTTTGTCTCGAGGGCGAAGTGCGCAAAGATCGCAGTACTGGCTATACAGATCGTCAGACACCAGACCCACGACGAGTAGTAGCAGTATTTCCTACCATCGGTCACCCTCAGGAAAACGTTGCGTGACCTGAATGTGTTCCACACGTAGTAGCCCAGGGCGCTGAGCCAGAAGAAGGCAGCCATTAGGGAAACATACATGACAGTGTCTGAAAAAAGAAATGGACAGAAATGAGATATTTTAGCGTACATCTTCAGTCCGGCAATTTGTCTGGCAATTTTGCTTTCGGAGCAAAAGGCCGTTTATGAGCGGTCGCGCTTATTAATTAGTCCTTCCGTCGCGAGCACGTTGAATCATGACTCATTCGACTCTCTTTCGCAGCGCTTGACTTTGCGTGTCTTGTAAACAATAATAATGGTCTTGAAAATGATAATACCGCAAATTTCGCTGTATAATTGATGCTTGAAAAAAAAATCTATCATTAACGCAGTGCGTCAGCAACGCTGGGACATCGAATATGCTTTGACACGGTGGATTACACCGGGAAATGATTTACGCTCAAACAAGAAATAGTTCAAGAAGTTATACACACAGACACGTGTGAAAAAAATGATTCACGCTTTCGCACTAACAATAAGTAAAAAAAAACCTACCGGCGATCATGAAGCTGACGTGATTGCCGAACTCTGTGAATATCCTGACGGTGGAGGCGCACTGATTGACCACGAGGCAGAGAGTCATGCTGGTGATGATGTTGCCGACGAGGTCGCGCAGCTGCGGCAGCACAAAGTAAACCACCGCGACGATCAGATAGCAAGCCATCGACACGGCGTGGAAAGCGGGATCGATCGCGTGCCTCATCAGGTAGTTGGTGTCGGTCCAACGCACGGCGATGTCCGGCACGCAGAGCATGGCGTATGTCGCCACCAGCTTATCATCGCTGAGCACCGCCTTGTCAGCGCAATAATGTCCGAACGGATAGTCGTAGTGTATGGTCGCACGTTCAACATCGACATCATCGTCGCTGTCGAGATTCGGCACCACGGCGCCGTAGACGCCGCTGTTTTCGTCCGCAGCTTTAGTTAAATCGATGATGTAGTGACGTAGCACACCGGTCGGTAGAATCGCCAGGCGATCCGGCCCGGACGGATAATAGTACACGTGCCATTGATGCTCGTCGGGGTTACACCTGGGCCGTCCGATCTTCAATTCGTATTTTGGCACGACGAATCTCGATCTCCCAATTGTCACGTCTCGCGATTCCGCCACGAATTCCGGTCGCCACTTGGTCTCGTTGACCTCCGTCAACGGCGTGCACCGGTCGTCGAGCAGCAGCTCTTCGGGCTCGCAACATTTACCGATGTTCACCGAAGTCGTACCGGCACCGTCTGTCTGGCTGCTTTCGGCGGGTCGCGTCTCGGTATCGGCGAGCGCGTTCCTCAATCCTGAGATACCACAATCGACGACAAGCAACAGTAGCACGCTCTTCGGATACATGACGCCGAAACACGCGCGCGCACGCAGCTCTTTCTCCTTACATTCGTATTCGTGTGCTCAATTTCTCGTATCTTCTCCGTTGAAAGAACTTTCACCAAGTTTCCGTGGCCGTTTACTCGATCGTATTTCACGAACCGTCCATGTGTGATTCACTCATTGTCAACTCATCGCGGGGTGTATCATACTCGCTTCGCCATACCTGCCCATACGTCGCCAATGCCTCCCGCGGTTATCTACCTACCTACCTACCTATCTACCCCAACCAGCGTCCGCCGCCATGACATTCCCATTCTCCATCGTGTCGGGGCTGGTCGGGGGCCCTCCGATCCCCTCCCGGTACCCCTCGACGACCTCGAGCGAGCCTTTGCGGCGGAGCCTGCGGCTCCGAAGACACAATAGCACGCGTCGGTGCTGCGCTCACACGTGTCTCTCTGCGTTTCTGATGATGCATTCTTTATTCTTAAATATTGGTACAGAAAGTAAAATTTTTATAATAATGTTTATAAACAAATTTAAAATACTATCGTAAAATTTATTGTATAATATACATTGAGTATTAATGTAGGAGTAGTTTTAAAATTAATGAAATATTCTTTTATACACACACATGCATGTACGCATATATATGGCCTTTGATATTAATATAATAATTTTACAATGCGCCAATGTGATTAAAGATTAAATGAACATTATTTATCATGGGACACAATATTGATAATTCGAAACTTTGATGAAATGTCAAAGGATTACCAATATACGATGTACGATAACGATATCAATAAGTGAATGACATGGAAACTAAATTATATCTAACATCTAACTTATCAAGAATACTTAATTTATTTTCTTATTTATCGATATATAAGAAACGAATGAACATTTTTTAATCTAATATTTTTTTCGAATATATACAACTTCTCGCACAGATACAAAAAATTTAAGACATTTTTTTTTTTTTAACGCAGCAATTTTTATATAATTATTCTGATCAAACTTATCATTATTTTTCAAACTCCAATATTATATGAATGTATAATCGCAAAGATGATTCCCTCGCACGTATATATTTTATTTATTAAAATGTCACAACGTGTGGAACGGTTAGACAAACCGAGATTGCAAAAGTGGTAATAATTTTTATGGCGATAATATTTTTTCTAAATATCATGAGAATTAACATACGTAATATGAGTTCGCGGTATTTACGTACAGTCGCGTTCTTCATAAAATTCTATAATTTTTTCTGTTTTCTTTCTCTTTTTTCTTATCTTTATGTGTTTGTATTACTCATCCGCTACTTCGATGAATGCGCGTTAACTTTAGACCGCAAGGGCGTGCGTAAATACAGCACGTGCTCGTCTTGTTACGTACTCTGAGAAAACACTGAATCGCTGTCAAGTATACTACAGCTGTACCGTCGTATATATTTAAGACCGGAAATGGTTTTGGACTCAGATGAAAAAATATTTTCAGGTCCTGTCTTGCGATATGACGAGATTTGTACGGTCGTGTAAAAAAGAAAAGATAAACCGCGTATTTTCTGCGTCGTATATAAATAAGATATGAAACGATATAGCATCTTTTTTAACGATTATTGTTATATTATTATTATTATTCTTATTTTAAACTTTTGATGAATAAGTGAACAATTTTTCTGAAATTCTTTGAAAATGATCTTAGAATGCATTTAAAAAAAATGATAAATCAATAATGATTCTCTCGAGAAGGACAGATAGTTGGGTCCCGGACATCTTTTCGGATCATCGAACCGCGATAATTTGTGGCGGCTCTTCTCCCCTTCTGGATATATTTTTTTTTACAGCCGCTCCCTTTCAAGACATGCAATATATGTTAGCATACGAGCTGTTCTATTTAGACTGGCAATGCATTATACATGACAATCGTGTATCATTTCTCTTTCGTATCTGAATACAATCGAGTCATTGTATATAGATATTTAAAGTATGATCAATAATAGTCGTGTTTATATTTTTAATATTTTTTTCGTACAACGTGAATTGGCTCAAAAAAATTAGTTGGATAAAAACTCCGGGTCCTATTCTCACTAATTTCTTTCTGTATTGAAGACAACTGATTATGAGAGGAATATAAAAATCGTTGCAATATCCTCTTTCATCGCTTCTAATCTGTTTAACGGTATATCTTATTAATGCAGCTGCAATAAAGTTCCGGGATTGTCGTGGATCAATTTTTATACCTGTCTAATCAGTTATTATACTGCTATCGATCATGACGTATATGTGAACAAACAATACAACATACAATGTATACATAATATCTACATGTCTATCGATCGTCTCTTTCTTCCTTCGTTTCTATTATACTCTCTATACTCTCGATCTTTTCATCTCTATTCAAACGATCGTTCGATTACGTTATTTTATATATTATCAAGTCATTTTGATATTATTACACAAGCAAATGAAAAAAAAAAACAACAAAAATCATAGAGTGAGATTCCTTCATTATAATGCATATCTCTATTTTCGCATAACAACATGAATCAGCATATTAGATACTAACAAAATACTTGACTTGTTTGCGAAAAGACTTGTTTATGAAAGATTCTGTTCTTAATAAGAAAAACTTTATTTGCATAGCGATGTTTCTCGTGATTTGTGTGAATAATGTTAATGAATAATTGTTCATGAAATATACATATTTGCATGCTTGCAAATATCTCGTAAGAATTCCGCGTACCATCTTGTTTGCGAGCATCGAACGTGATCTGTACATATTCGTCGCATCCAATCGCATCGATTGTCACGAGACGATTCGATTTGCTTAACAAATTTCGTCCGCGTCATGCAATCGTGACCTACTATCTATCTGCATCAGTATCATGAGAAGCTTGTCAATACCAACGACCAAATGTAATCGGGTTTGTTACATCTGGATACGCGTCATCGTTCACCGTCGTTCACGTCGCTTTATAGACAAGATGCAACGTGATAATGGTATAACGAGGGATAATCCGGACTTGTGGATCACCTCTTATTCATGCCCGAGAAAAAATAGATTTATGTAATTATATAAGATCATATATATATATAAATTCGAAATTTTTGGCGCACGATATATGATTTGGTCATATAAATATAATAATATTTAAAATTTGGTGCGTTATGATTTTATCTTTATATAATCATATTCAGCTAGATCTGATTATACATGTATATATTGTATATGAAAACAGATCAAGCCGAATATGATTACATAAAGATAAGATCATATATAGCGCCAAATTTTGAATATTATTATATTTGATCATATAAAATCACATATGTTATTTGATCTTTTTATAACTAATTACGTATATTTACATTTGTCTATTTTATACACATTTTCCTCGGGAAGTGACTCTTTCACATGGTAGTATTTTAAATAACCATTCCCCAGATTCATGAGTTAAAAAAAAAAAAAAAAAAAAAAAAAAAAAAACTCGATGGGGACCTATAATTTTGATGTTATAAGCCTTCATAAAATATCCTTGACATTTTCGCCGAGGATTCGGAAATGGATTTCGGGATTCAGATTAATCTATAAGTAAAGGTTGGTTCACTAATTGATCTCTCTGGAGTATCCTGCGTAACTCACATCAATATATATCAAATTATGAGATGACGTGTTACAAATTACGCGTGAAATCAATGAAAGTAGGACAGATGCGGCGTGTGTTTACAACACTCGATATCTGCTCACGGCGATAATTTTTATGAATCTGTTTTCTAAGCTTATGTCATACATATATACACACATGCATTGAGCGGATCGGATTTTATCGAGAAAGATACATACTCGAACTAGCGAGCACGTATCACATGTACATCGCGGCTATTGTTTGTTTGTGAAAACGTCAAATAGCCTTCAAATTCAGAGGTACAAACGACCTTTGCACGGTAAATTATTTCTCAATACTTGTTATACCAGATGTTTCAGAGAGATAATCGAATTCGACTAATTCATGGCGAATTCTCTTACGTAATTTATTTACCGTATGCGAATATTTCGGCGTGTCTCTAAAAATTTGCATAATACGTAACGAGATGTGAGCATTTATGACGATCGATAGTAGAAGTGGGGTAAAAATCATTCTCGTGAATGAATCGGATTTATGCGATTTTTTCGCGGGAAATCGCGTAGAGACGTGTGGTGATACGGATGACTCGTCGTCGTCACGTTTCCACGAATGAGAAACTGAATCACGAGCGCGAATTAAATGATGTTACCAACCGATGAATAATTGTAATCTTCAATATATTTTTAATTTTTCCTCCACGCACACACAGCAATTTAGTCCAATAAATCTATATAATTAATTTACGGAGATTCTTGTACAGTGCTTAATAATAACATATTCGGCTACGCTAATCGTAAAAAAAGCACAATAATTCGCAATAATTGATAATTTACGTGGAAACATATGATATTTATTGGTTAATCCGTTATCAGCCAAATATCGTATCTTTTTTGAGAATATATATTACAAGAATAGGTAATGTGTGTACACGAATAAGAGATACGTCGAAGTAACATTGATTTCGCGAATCTTAATGACGAGACTGATAACGGATGAACATAGTGGAGATAATTTATCTAACGCGATATTAATATACATAACGGGAATATTCATACAGAGGATAAAATGCGTTTACAAATATAAGTTATCTTTAAAACCGTATGCATTTTAAAGCACGACAACGGTCATGTTATCTATGCTTAACTTGTCAGATAATATACAGATAATTCGAGATTGTCTTTTCTCTTAAGTGATATTTCTTACATCTAACCCGCGTGTAATGATCCTGGGAAATATATTTTGGGAGGGAAGGAAAGAACGTAAAAATGTGTCTTATTCCTGTTGAGACAATTCGACTTCCTCGGGAAGCATTTCTTCGCATTCCTCATTCTCATAGGCCGCCCAGGATTTTGGGAAATCGATACCGCAGGGTCGCTTCTTCGCCAACAGCTTCCGCACTCTTTTCCGCATCACGACCAGGAGTAGAAATATGATAAATCCTTGGAGACCGTTCAACAGATCCGTCAGTATCCTGACGAGAACATCCGTCGATTATTTTATTTAATAATTGATCTATATATTAATAGATATCTATGCGCGTCGGGATAGAATATTTAAAAGATTGCTTACCAAAATTCTATATTTGTATCAATAGCAAACGACAATAGCTCGAAGATCCAGGTGATACCCGTGACGAGCACCAGTTTAAAGTACAATAGACACTTGAATCGCAAGACTCGCAGGTTGCTTCCCGTGTAATCGCGATATTGATGCCACAAACGCCAGCTGGTCAGTCCGAGGTAGATTATGTTTAACATTAACAAAATACCGATCGGCCCGTAAAAGTACGCCCACGTTTGTTCGGTTCCTGCAAAATAAGCGAGGCCACGTGTCTTATCTCGCGTTAGAAAATGAGAACAAATGAAACGATCTTTTAAACCGTCGACGTACATTCCGTGTGTAGTCTATAGTCGATTTTTGTTGTTGAAGAGAACAGAGGATTATTCCTGTATAACTTACCGCCGAACCAGCAATTGTAGTCGCCGAAGCCAGGTTTCAAATGATGTCCCTCCCTATAGTGCATCGTCAGTGTGGTGATTAGCAAAAACGCCGGGCCGCCCCATCCCCAAATGCAATAAGCGGAGTAGAGCGATTGGTCTTTGATCCTGAAGTTCCTAAACCTATGCGGATAATTAAACTTTGAAGATACACGCGGAATTTCAAACATGTATTTCATCGATTGACGTTATTACAATTTTGCGTAGACGATATCTTGTATTTCTCACGGAATTTATTTGTGTCACTCACCACACAGTACGCCACACGTTGAAGGCCACGATGTTCAGCCAGAAAAACGCAGACATGAAGGAAAAATACAGTATGAACCCTAAAACAAATGTGTAAAGATATAAGTTGGATATTAATGAGAGATTGAAAAGAGATGCGAGAAAATTTAATGATTATATATCCGATTATATATAATACAAGAATTTTCTTACATTTATCAGCTCTCCCTGCTTAATTTTATAATGTATAATTATACGTATATGTACCGAAAAATACGCAAATGGTGTAATTATCCTCGATTATCATCGGTCGCACGTGCTGAATGGATAGGACGGTGTAACTGACTGCCAGAGTGGTGACGACGGCCATCATCGCCTTGTCCTGGAGCTCTCGCAATTCCGGCAGTATAACATAAACCGCCAGGGTGGCGATCAGGAAAATAGCGGAGATGATGCTGACGATGCAGATGAGCGTGTTCTTCCACATTATCGACATCTCGATTAATAGATCCTCGTCAAAGCACGCGAGGGCGATCTCGCCGCCGCTTCGCGCTGATTTGGCTGTGCAGAAACTGAATGAAAAAAAAAAAATTATGAAGAAATTGATTAGTGATAAAAATACCGTCTATCGATCATAGATTTATCAATGATCCATTACGAAAGATTCTGTAAGCGAATATTAATTAACCATTAATCGCGCGTCGTAATAGGATATGCGAACTTCGGAAATCTCTGAACATCAGGATTTTCCTTATATTTCTTAACATCCGGTGCTTACAACTGCAAGTTTCTTTCTCTTTTTTTCTCGAATGAACGCGCGAGAAATGAGTATTTCCCGGCACGATTACGCGTGTGATAAGCCGGACGGAAGTTGTGGGGTGACCTTACCTGTCAGCCGGGATTCTCTCGTGGTTCATGTCCAACAGTAGCCAGGCGGTATCATTCTCGTGGATGATGGTGAAGTTATCGCGCTCATTTTGCTCGGGATCGATCAGGAAGGTGTTGTTCGGGCATTGTAGACGAATGTTCGTGCCGTCCGAACAGTTGGTCGAGTATTGCCATACCGTGCCTTCGGGGCAACAGGATACGTCGAAGGACAGGCTCGGGGAGATCGTGCTCGCGAGCAACCAAAGCCACGGCAACCAGAGGGAACCTGAAAAGCGTCGTATCTCGATGAACGGCGCGTCGTAGTTAATACGCCGTTTCTTGCGAAGGGACACGCCCGGGAAGATTTAGCTTGATATACTACAGCCGTGTCTTATCCGTTAATTGTTTATAAACGCGGAAACTGATAAGGAATTATTTTTTCGCATTAGTCGGATCTCGTCGCGTAAATGTAACTTTTTTCTCGGAAAGATTATTGTAATAATCTTGAAGTGGATTTGTTTTAAAAATCTGACAAGGATATAATATATCCTACTTTAAAATATTTATTTTAAAGGATATAATATTTCCTTCTTTAAAATATTTATTTTTATATATATTTATTTTTCTTGTATACGATATTTCATTTAAATATAATGTAAAGTTGAAAAGTTATAATAAGATATATTGAACATTAAAATAATAAAATGTTGAAGTCTTTTAATGATATAATATAACAAATGGTAACACGATCTCGCGTTTCTATGTCACGTCTAGCATTCTAGCAAAAGCATTTGTTGCAGAATTTTCGCGTGCGTCATGCGAGGTTCGGACTGATACCGAAATCGTTTTTTTTTTCTTTTTTTTTTTCTTTTTATCATCGACGATACTAGGCTCGGCGTTATCGCGCGAGTGTATCAGAGTCCGGGGATACGAGTGATAGAGATTTGCAACGAGAAAATAATAAAACGGATCGCGTATATCGCATATGTTTTTATGTAATGCAGCTTCATTTGCGAATGTCATGATTCTCCTTCTCTGCGAGAAATGAGAAATGAGTGCGTCGATCTAAAGAACGCAATTCGCAATAAGAAACGTAATAGGGATGGTAACCCAGTTTAGCGCTTAATGGCAGATGCGCGATATGAAACAATCGTTATGAAAGAAGAAGGGATATGACTCTCTATCTCTCTCTCTCTCTCTCTTCCTCTCTCTCTCTCTCTCTGTTAACTGTACGCTAACACTTCATTACAGGCGCTGGACCGGACTGCACACACGCGTGCATGTGCACCAGATATATACGTGCGTGTGCAGATCCTCGGTGCATCCGCTGTATTGTTGGCACGAGATCGTATTTTCGATTCGAATTGTTGAATGTCTTTTTTTTTATTTAGCAACGGGAAATGCAAGAAGCGAGAAGCAAATGCTGAGATGTGCAGCGGTTAATTTATCTTATAAAAATTGCAACGCCACGTTTTCGCGTGTTATAAAAATTGCAACGCTCGTTTAAGACGTTAAAGGAATTCGATTTGTTGTATTAAAATTGTTTGCAGTTGTGTTAAGATAAAAGAAGATTATATTTTAATTAACCATATATGTACGCGATACATATGTTTTTTTTGTAAGAGTCGCGTGTTCGTTGTATTTATTTTTTTAACACTATCCCAGCGAGATTTATTGCTATTATCATTATCAGTTAAAGTAAACGTCTCATTTATTTTTTGCATCTTTCATTTAAAATGATATCGGTTTGTTGCAATCTTGGCGGATAATATTATTTTTTACAATACGATGTACAAGTATCGTTACATACGCTTTCCTCTCTCTTTCTCTCTCTCTCTCTCGCTCTCTCGCTCTCGCTCGCTCGCTCTGAACTATTCGAGTTTTCTGGGTCAATTTCTTGTTTAACTGATCGTTGTAATTATCCCGTCACTGCGTAAAATATCAAAATTGCAAACTTCGAGAACGTGATAGCTCATATCATAAGCTATTAACAAAGTCTATAGATTGTGTTTTACCGGTATTTCGTCGCAGTAAATGAACGCAATAATCATTAAACGTCGGGATTTTGCATAATCGTAGTTTTGCATAATTTCTAGGAAGTTTTTCTCGGAATGTTGAAATAAAAATTTTTAATATTTAAATCGCGTGATTAACCGAGAATCGTACAAACATGCTCGTCACCTTGGATACTTGCGGTTACTTATGATGACAACTTCATTAACGCAGATGTAAATGCCGTCCACGTTTAATTAAGCGCAATTTGTATAATGCATATAATGACTGAACGAAATAAACGCATTGTTTTCGTGTCACATGTGTTATTTACATCGTTTATCGGTACGAAGAAAAAGGAAGAGCGTTGTAAAAAAAATTCATTCAGTTTTGATCGTCGCGTAAACTTGATACGATAAGCTATTTGTATACAATACGTATATATAATTTATATAGGGCAAAAACATAAAAAGCATTGACGTTTCATGATTAGCGCATTCTCAACATGCGTTGAGAAAAGAAGATAATCGGAACGGAACGAAAACGAGTAACGAGACCGCTTCGTGTGCTTGAAATATCTCATTTTAGCAGAAACGAATGAACGGAAAGCGCTCTCTATTGATAATCAAAGATGCTTGCTTAATGCACTCTGTATCTTTTTATTAAATCAGGTTTTTATGAGAAATTACGATAAGACATCAATCTTATCGTTTACATTTATTTGTAGACTTTGGTTGCAATTTCTTCTATCGATTTGCAGTATCCGCTGTTTTTCAACGACTTTTATAGGATTTAAGTTTCCCGAGCGGACAACGAAATATTGTTTATCCCGAGAAACGCGCACGTATATATAATGTATTCGTTGATATCTACACTGCAAGTTAATTATTTAGCAATAATTCTCTTCAATATAACGTCTTCCTTGTCTAGGAAATATTTTCGATTAAAGATTTTTACAGACGTTTGTTGTGAATTTTCTTACTGTCAATACGTGAATCGAAGTCGTTGTATAACGTTAATCCAATCGCTCCTTCTGATCATTGATAAGTCAATTAATTATCAACGAAGTATTCTATTCCCAACATATATCTACATGTCTACACAAACAACTACAATTATGTATGAACAAAATTTACATCGCATAAAATACCAATGAATTACGCTTCACGTTAATGAAGTAATTCCCTGATGCATACGTCGTGAATAAAAATTACGACAAGCGCATTTATGAAATAAAAAAAATATGTCCAAGAAGCAATAAATATTATTAATCATAGCTTAGAGCGCGGATACAATTTCTGAATATTGCCATTATTTTCAATGATATTTTTACGTGACAGAGTCATAATAATTCAAGATATAAAAGACGGACTTTACAACGGTACGTCATAATATTATTGGAATTCTGTTGATTGACGCAAGGTGCATTTTTTTTTCCACACAGGAAAATTTTCATGTTAGTTAAGTCGAGTTTTGGGAGGTAGAATTGGAAAATATTAAGTATTTTGCCGATTAATGATAATTTTATTAATTCAACGATCATTATCGTTATGTTTTTAGTTAAGTAATATTGGCAGGAACGGAAAGTAGAAGGTTTCTACAGAAACAAGAATACGTCAGTCGCACGAATAAATGTAGAAACGAAAAACAAAGGGCACAAAGACGAGGAAGAAACGTTACACGCAAACGTGTAAGGAAGTTTACGCACCTCTGATCGACGACGCGCCAAGCTGCCTGTTGTAACTCACGTCAAACGACATTGTCTCTCGCTCTCTACCGCATCTCTTCGTTCCTTATTGTAGGGAGCAAGCCTGTTTCTCGCCAAGGTAGTCGAGTTAGGGGAAGCTGGGAGGATCCAACGATACGAATTTCGGAGGGTCTCCCTCTCTTTGGGGAAAAAACGCCACGCTCGATCGAGGTCAACGGACGGTCCCGGATCGCTCTGGCGTTCGCCACCAGAAGGACGATGCCGCTTTCTGCAATTTCTTTGGGAAATTCTTCGGCGGTTGGACAATGACAACGAACGCGATGTGTCACGATCGCCTTCTTCGGTCGGCGCGTTTTCTTCTCTCCTTTCCAAAGCCACACGACGGCTGACGCTCGAATAAAGAGCGAGAACGCTACGACTTATCGATCCTTTTATCAATCGGTCTTGATTTTCATTCTTCGGCGGTTGGACAATGACAACGAACGCGATGTGTCACGATCGCCTTCTTCGGTCGGCGCGTTTTCTTCTCTCCTTTCCAAAGCCACACGACGGCTGACGCTCGAATAAAGAGCGAAATTCGCGACTTATCGATCCTTTTATCAATCGGTCTTGATTTTCGGTTTGAAAATTCCGAAAACTGTCAAGACGGTCAAGAGGAAAAATTACGCTTATTACTGTAAAGCGATCTGGAATGTTATCAAAATCGCGAGAAAAGTCCTCGTGCGAGTCTTTACGGAGAAATCGATGTGTTTTATATGGTTGATACGATCGAACCCCGATAAGCGGATTGGAGTGGCGAGCTCAATGAGACGCACTCACGCACTTGCGCTACGAGCGGAACTGAACGCGACGACGAACTGCTCACCGGAGTCTGCCGGCGACGCAGACTGCGCGACCGGAGATATCTACTCCCACTTTTTTGCGTTTGAACGAGGTCCGTGCTGTACGATTGAGCATCATGCATTTTTTCTTCTCGTCCTGTCTAGCGTCCCATTCAACTGCATGCAGAAATAATGATCAGAAGGACCGGTTCGCTAAATTGTCATCAGATTTCTTCGTCGACTTTTAAAGTGCCGTTACATCGAATAGGGATGCGACGCGGTCGTGAAACTACTGAGAGAAAGGGTAGCACATGCGTGCTTCAAAAGGATAGACGTTTATAAAAGGAAAAAAAAAAAAAAAAGAACTGTCTCTATCGACAGGTAAAGGACGAATATATCGCACGTTACCGTGTTGCTTTACGAACGTTACGTCGCATGAATAGGAATGCGACGAAGAAGTATGTATATTAGACAAGAGTATACCATTATGCGATATATCTTTTTTATATACCTAAAAATTGAAATGTCTGATATATACACGTTTATAACTATACAAATGTAACCATATTTTAAAAGAGAGTCAATATCTGTAACATTTGAATGAAGGCTACTGATGATAGGACGTTCCGATTACTAATTGCTATCATTAATGTTCACTACTACGTTGCCTTCAAACATCAGTCAACTAATCGCGTTTGAAGAGTTGCTTGGTTGAACATACAAATGAGTTACGAGCCATAATAATTGTCTATTAAGTACGCTCTTATTTTGCCGATTAATTTAACCAATCTCCGTTAAGAGAGAATGATTATTGACGAAAATTATATTACAATCATCAAGTATATCTTTACATCAAATCGTCTTAAATATATATTCTCAAAAAATAGGTGGTTTTGTAACGCATTAATGTGTCATCTCGATTTTTTAGAAATATGTATCGAAAATGATTCAGAAAATAAGCCTTCAATGAATGAAACATAGAGAATAAATGTAGACTTCTTGACAGATGAACCTCGAATTTCTCCGATAGATACATCGTTGAAAGAGGAAGGAGAATCTTGTCCGTCAAGAAGAACGATTAACATACCTGCGAGTGGTTCTCTCGTCGACTGTGACGTGGAAACACGATTTTAAATGCAATTACTCTGTTGATTCTGATTTTATCGATGCACATATCAATCGCAGCCAATGGCGTTTCTCTATGAACAAAAGACCATACGTAACGCTCGTAACAATAAATGCCACTTCTACCAAAAAACAATTACCTTTACTTTTGATTGCAGCTTCTGGAAATGCTCAAGTTCTACGCCAGATTCGAGATCAGTGAGGAGACCGGCAACCCATTGACGGATCACGACATGACGCAGTTACACTACGCTAAAATCACGTCTCTTCAAGTATATAAATTTTATAAATATACGTCATAATTTCTAGAAAGTATTTATAAACTATTTTTGAGTTTTAATATATCAATTCTAAATTATTCTACGGATCATAATCTTCATTTTTCGCATATATACCGACCTTATATAGGGTGCTCCCGGGTTAAATAACCAAACTTAAAATAGGAATTTAGAATCTCAAAACAAAAATAATTTTTCTCTGGAAATATGCTCGCAAACGCTTCTTTTAAGAGACATTTACTTCTTAAGTTACAAATCTAAAAGAATGAATAATGTCGTTTACCGGGTTTAACACCATTAGATTTTTTTGTATGGGGTGTTCTCAATCAAAAAGTGTATGAAGTGCTTGTTCAATCATTAAAACGGAGGATAATGCAAGCGTACGAAGAAATCACAGACGCACAATGTCAGTCAGCCACTCGTTCTCTTATCGATGGATGCAATGCTTGTCTCCGGGTTAGAGGCCATCATTTTGAATAAAATATTTAATAATTAAACTTTGATTATTGTAAAGCAATAAAGAGGATAAACCTAAATTATTTTGACATAATTTCTATAGTTATAATTTAAGAAGTCAATATCTCTTGAACGAAGCGTTTGCGAGCATACTTCCAGAGGAAAAGTTTTTTTTGTTTTGAGATTCTACATTCATTTTTCAAGTTTGGCCATTTAACCCGGGAGCACTCTGTATACATCATATTGCATATATACCGGTTTTTACAAACTGGTCGTTGCCGATTAGAGAAGAATATCGCGCAACAGGAATTTGAAGTTCCATAATTAATTCTTCAACCAGTCGCGTCATTGATATGCTATAACACATGCTTGTATATTAAACATAATTATATATTCTCGAAATCGAGAGACTAACAAGTAGCATTTAAAACTCTGTTTAGAATGCGGTCTTCTTGAAATTTCCGGACCTGAGAAGCTTCGCGTTGGCCAACGTAGCCAGTGTCGACATCAGGGACGCTCTTTACAAGCATTTCGGTTCGCTCAGGTGAATAATTCTATATATAAAATTCTTTATGCTTAACGTTAAAGCATTGCGAGCACTTGCGGATCGATGGAACGCGACGAGTGACGTTGATTTTTATTTTCAGCCAGGAAAAATTGAGATCTATCGCGAGTTACTTGAATTTAGTGCCGCCGAAGGAACGAGAAAAGGAGGAGAATTGGTACCGTCTAGACATAGAGTTTTTGCGCGAGCTGCTGGTAAGTGTAAGAAAGAGAAGAGAGGGAAACATAAATTCGAGAGCCCATTGAGTACGATGCTGGATTCTGAGAAAACGCATTTTAATTTCAGATATCGCGACACGAGCGTAGGCCGTCGCAACTTGAGGAGTTGAATGAAATGCCCCTCTACCCGACCGAAGACATCATCTGGAACGAGAGCATTGTCCCGACCGAGTATTTTTCTGGCGAGGGCTGTCTGGCTCTGCCGAAACTGAATCTGCAGTTTCTCACGTTGCACGATTATCTGCTACGCAACTTTAATTTATTCCGCTTGGAATCCACGTGTAGGTAGAACGAGTGAAAAAATAACATTCTTGTTTATATCTAAATATTTACGATTAATAATTATAGTGGTATATATTTATTACTCATGTTTTTATAGATGAAATACGACAGGACATCGAGGATGCCGTAAGCAGATTGAGTCCTTGGTATGTTATTATAGTGTGTATTTACGTCATATTTAACTACCTTCCCTTTTTGTGAAAAGAAAAGTAATCGATTTTTACTATTTTTTCGTTTGCAGGCGGGCGGAAGACGGCGGTGTTTACTTCGGCGGATGGGCCAGAATGGCACAACCTATTACACAATTTGCTGTAGTCGAGGTAGCCAAGCCTAATGTTGGCGAGAATAGGCCATCGAGGGTACGCGCCGACGTTACAATAAATCTCAGCGTTCGCAAGGAGATTAAATCCGAATGGGAGAACCTTCGCAAGCACGACGTATGCTTTCTCATCACAGTCAAGCCACCGAATCCTATTGGTAAGATAAACGTTAAAGAAATATACGTATCATTCTTTAAATAAAAAATATATAAAGAAAAATGTTTGCCGGTATCGCATATTTTATATGCTATAGCAAATTTCGTCTTTATATGGAGATATAGCAAAAAGATTAATTAAAGATATTAATTTTGCCTGCTATTTTTTCCATGTAATAGCCACATATAATTATAACAAATGAGTAAAATAATCAGATAACTGTTACACTATCTCAGGCACGAAATATACTCACAAGCTCCCCTTCGTACCGCAAGTTGGTCTAATGACGGTGCGAGGGTGTGAGGTCGAGGGTATGCTCGATTCGAATGGCAGAGTGATAGAAGACGGCCCTGAGCCGAGACCGATTCTACCGGGCGATTCGCGAACCTATAGAGTATGGTTGGACTGCAATCAATATCGGCTCGACATGGACAACGCCAGTCACGGCGGCGAGGACGTATATGAGGGATTTAATATTATTATGAGACGTAAACCTAAGGAGAACAACTTTAAAGCAGTTTTAGAGACTATAAGGGAGCTTATGAATACTGAATGCGTCGTGCCCGATTGGCTTCACGACATAATTCTTGGATACGGTGATCCCGGCGCAGCATGCTATTCTAGGTAATTTATATAACTATCTAACTATATATCTAACTAATTATCTAACTTTATATATATCTCTCTTTCTATACATTACTATAATAAAACTGAGCCTATATATCTATTTTATTGCTTAAGAAAGAGCATCAATTGAAAATGGCTGAACGACTTTGTCTGATATTTTAATAGCAGATGCAATGTGTTCTTTCATAGCTACATCATTAACAATATTTTTAAAACAGTAATTAATTATTAATGTTGTTTGAAGAATAGATCAATATTTTTATTCTATTTTCTGCACTTATTTTGCGCGTGATAATTTATTCAACAAATTATAAAGTTGTAATTCAATTGACTGTTAAAATATTTTAATTCTCTGTTAGAATGTCGGATGAAATTGCGACGATGGACTTCAACGATACGTTCCTTGACATAGATCATCTACGAGCTAGTTTTCCTCAGTACGAAATCAAAACAGACCTAGAGGACGAAGGAAATCTCGTACGGCCGTTCCAGTTAACTTTCGAGGATATTCTAGCGAAGCGCAACAATGAACCAATTAAGAAAATTATTAGAGTTAAACCACACGTACCGCCCAGTAGAGGTCCATTCAGAGCAAATGAACCGAAAAAGTTAGCATTCACTTTGGTTATTCTCTCTTTCTCTCTCTCTCTCGTAGCGTATTTATAAAGTATATTATAGAATGTGTTATTTTTCGAACAGAGGAAAAAACATGTCGTTATATTTTGTTCGTTATATATTGCAGAAATCAAATCCCCTTTACGCCAACGCAAGTCGAAGCTATACGAGCTGGAATGCAGCCAGGTCTGACGTTGGTCGTCGGCCCGCCCGGTACCGGTAAAACGGACGTCGCTGTGCAAATCATCTCGAATCTATATCATAATTTTCCCAATCAGAGAACACTGATCGTGACACATTCCAATCAAGCTCTCAATCAATTGTTCGAGAAGATAATGGCTCTCGATATTGACGAGCGGCATCTATTGCGTCTCGGTCACGGAGAAGAGGCTCTTGAGACTGAAAAGGATTTCAGTCGCTACGGTAGAGTTAATTATGTTCTTGCCAAGCGTTTGGATTTGCTTATGGAAGTTCAAAGATTACAGGTATTGATTTATTTTTTAAGCTATTCAAATTGATGTGTGATGTCCAGCCGTTCTTACAATTATGTTTTTCCTTCAGGAATCTCTGAACGTGAAGGGTGATGTTGCATATACATGTGAAACGGCGGGATACTTCTTCATGTATCAAATATCCACGAGATGGGATCGCTTCGAAGCCAGAGTTAAGCAGAGGCAGCACACGAGCGATAAGTCCATTTTATCTTCCATAGTCGATGAGGAGTTTCCATTCCACAAATTTTTTGATAACGCTCCGCAGCCGCTTTTCAAGCGGGATTCATACGAGGAGGATCTCAAGATTGCGTACAGTTGTTTCAGGTAAAAATACACGCGATAAACTTTTACAGGATGAACAATCGGGCAGTTTCTAACGAGACATTATCTGCGTAGGTATATCGAAAGAATATTCGCTCAGTTAGAGGAGTTCCGTGCTTTCGAATTGCTGCGATCGGGTCTCGACAGGTCAAAGTACTTACTTGTGAAGGAGGCCAAAGTGATTGCTATGACTTGTACACACGCGGCACTTAAACGGCGCGAACTCGTTGACATGGGTTTCAAGTATGACAATATCCTCATGGAAGAGTCCGCGCAGATTTTGGAGATAGAGACTTTTATACCATTGCTACTGCAAAATCCCCAGGATGGATACAATCGTTTAAAACGTTGGATAATGATAGGAGATCACCATCAGTTACCACCTGTCATTAAAAATATGGCCTTTCAGAAGTATTCGAACATGGAGCAATCATTGTTCGCAAGATTTGTGAGATTAGGCGTTCCCACGGTCGATCTCGACGGCCAGGGTCGTGCCAGACCAAGTATCTGTAATCTCTACAATTGGCGGTACAAGAAATTGGGCAATTTGGCGCACGTGGAACATAGTCCTGAATATCTTGTAGCAAACGCCGGTTTCCTGTACGACTTCCAACTGGTAAATGTCGAGGATTTCAATGGCGTCGGTGAGAGCGAACCTAGCGCTTACTTCTATCAGAATCTCGCTGAAGCCGAATACTGCGTCGCGGTGTTCATGTATATGCGCCTGTTGGGATATCCGGCTGATAAGATCAGTATATTGACGACGTACAACGGTCAGAAACATTTGATAAGGGACGTGATAAACATCCGTTGCGCAAACAATCCTTTAATAGGTCGGCCGAACAAGGTGACGACTGTCGATAAGTATCAGGGTCAGCAGAACGACTATATCCTGTTGTCTCTGGTGAAGACGCGCGCGGTTGGTCATCTGAGGGACGCGAGACGTCTGGTGGTGGCAATGTCGCGCGCTCGCCTCGGTCTTTACGTCTTCGCCCGCGTGTCCCTCTTCAAGAACTGTTTCGAACTTACGCCGGCGTTCGATCAACTGATGCAGAGACCGTTGAAGCTGCAACTAATACCACAGGAACTATATCCGACCGAGCGACCAAACAATATCGTGCCCTCGATGGTCCCAATGGAAATTGAGGATATGCCGCATATGGCTAAGTTCGTTTACGACTACTATATGGAGAAAGTCAGCGGAATGAAGGTAAATTCTCAAAACTTATTACAAATTGATTGATATAAATCTTGTCTTTTCGATATATTGATCGATCTCTTTTGTATCATTTTCAGGGATCGCAGAAAATGTGGCAGAAGCCAGGAACTATGCAAACAATGGGCAGTCCGACGCATAAGATCCCCGCTCATCCAGGTGCCGATGACGATACCGATGAAGAAGAGGAAGGACTTAGCCAAGAAGATGATGAAATGAAAGAACCTAAAAAAGAGAATGTAGAGAACAAATACGAGATCATAAAGAATTTAGTCGAAGATCCTCCGAACGAGGCCGAAGACGACCGCTGAATGGATTACGCCGTGATATACCTTGTGCTTGCACAAGGACTGATACGTTAGTACGAAATAAAATAATCAATTTTACAGCTTGGAAATGAAACCATCATCTGCTTCAATTCCAAGATACTGATGTATATCGTAACTCTCATGGGTTAACGATCAATCGTTGATACAATCACACTATATTAAGAATAAGCGTTTTATTAAAGAGATTATTATTATAAAATAATATATCGAAGTTTTCTTACATACTTGTACCAAAATAAACTAGGTGAATGTTCAGTTAATTGATTATCTCACTGATCCTTTTTAAAACGCGTATTTCGAGGCATAAAAACTGAATGATTTTACGCATTACGATGAAGACATTCATTTTTTATTTCTATGTCTCGAAGTAAGTATAATAGCGAGTTTTAAAAAATCAGAGATAATTCTTATATTGAACATTTATTTTTTATAAACTATATATTATAAACCACAGTTTTTTTTTTTTTTTTTACGAACATCAGTCTCATATCCAAAATCTATTTTCTAATCCTGCGGAATTTTCTTCGATCACCTTGCTTGTTACTTTAACCGAATTCCGTATCGACATGTAGCTGTATACCAGAAACATTCGTATTATATCTCACGAAAAGAGATCTATCTTCTTCTTGACCAATGTTCCCTTTCGACGCGCCTCCAACCTCTGCGTCTTGAATTTCTCCGATTTACTCGGAGTTCTTTTTGAGTTGTCCGGCGTACTCTGTCGCACACTCGACGGCACATAACTATCATCGAACTTCATCAATTTGCTCGGTGATTTGAAATCAGGCTCGTACTCCTCTACAGAAGGCTTGACTCCTTTGGAATTAGGTACGTATTCCTCGAGGATACCATCGGGAATCGTCATAATGGCGCGCGGTTCGTAAATCTCATGAATTATTTCCAGCTTCTCGATAGAGTTCGGCACGTAACTCACGTTTTCCACCACGTGTTTACTGTCACAAAGAGTCGGCGTGTACTCGTTCGATGTTAAACGCATACTCTCCAATGCGCTCTT